TTAAAAAAAAAAAAAAAAATAGTACCCAACCTCTTCTCTCTGCTTGGGAAGGGGAGACCATAGTAACATACTTATACATATATATGAAGTTCATATGCAGTAAACTTTACATATTAATGTAGATATATATGTGTAAATATATATGTGTATATATGTATATGTAAGTATGCGTTTATTATGTATAAAGCATATTTAAGAAACTTGATTCTTTTAAAATAAATGAAACTATATTGTAAACAATTTTAAAATGACATTTAACATTCTCAACTTTATAACAATGCTCATTCCAATTTTAGAAAATGAGAGGGATCAGCTCAGGTGTAGAAGTTATTCAGATAATTTGTCATAACTTTTTCACCAAAGTCTTATAAAAATAAAAATCAGCCCTGGAAACAAATTTTTGAAGCTTTATTTTATTTTACAAGGTCACTTCAGCATAGACTGTTACTTGGAAAATACACAAATTTAATATTAATTCACACATCTCTCCTATATTATTTCTCCCCATCATAGGGAATAATAATATTTCAGTATAAGTCATAACTGTTTGCATTCACTCCAGTGACTTTTATTTCTATAGGCACTTGTTGGTGATAAATCACTGGCATTCTGGATGATGGATGCAGAAATGTATTCGAACATGAGCGTTCTGGCACCTTTTACTCCAGTCATTGATCGTGGAATACAGCTTCATAAAATGATTCGACTCATTACTCATGGGCTTGGGGGTGAAGGTTATCTCAATTTCATGGGTAAGTATGAACAGAACACCACATGTCCAAGCTGTTTTTAAAATGTTAACTAGTATTACATGTGATATAAATCACGTAGTTTATTTTGATTTGACTTCAGATTTCAAGTACAAAATTATTCTATAATAGACTCTCAAGTGTTAAATGAAAAAGAAAAGTAAATTACTAAAAGATTGTTGTTATACTAACATATAATTTTTAAAAAATAGTCTGAGAACTTGTATTTTACTAAATATTGATTTCAACAAGTAGGCTGAACTAAATTCAAAATTTGAAATTAAACATTTTTATTCTGAATTAATGATTCTGAGCTTATTTTAAGGAGCTATAGTGGCATAGTGGATAATGCATTTGGCTGCTAACCAGAAGCCCAGCAGTTCAAACCCACTAGCTGTTCCATGGAAGGAAGACTGCCCAATCTACTTCCATTTTATTATTATTATTATGTTTGCCCATTAAACATAAGAAAGGTAAATTTCCTATGATCACATACAAGTTTATGTTGTTGATTAGAATTGAAAATAACTTATTTGAGGTAATTGTATACCAATATGCTTATTTTACAAATGTGAAAAATAAAGGCTAGCAGTATAACCGTTACTTATTTTAGAAAATAGGAAAAGTATGAATGTTTAAAGAGCATTGGTAAAATATAGAAATCAACTAATATTTTTTCCATTATATTTGGTCAACAACAAAAAATTGAATCTTAGTTTTAGAAGACTTCACCCACGTTTATACTAGAAAAAGATGAGAAAATACAGACAGAAGGCTTTAGAGTAATTAATTTCTATATGGAAGTTTTTTTTTTTTTTTTTTTT